GCTTGCTTTAAAAGGTGAGTTATTCCATCAAAACATTCCCAAAAATAGTTTAGGAACATAGATTGCTTTGGACATCCAAGATATCCATAAATATCTTGAAGATATTCATTCAAGTGCATTAATATCCAAAGTAAATGCACCAACAAGCATGAAAACACATTAAAAACATGTTATAGCATTGAATTACCATAAAATATGTTTAGAGGTGTCTAACCCGTACATGTAACTTAGTTATCCATATATGATTTACAGACGCAAATACTTATATTAGTACACCAATAACTATGTTAATGCACAATAAAGTACATGAATGCATTAAAAAGCAAGCTTAGTTCACCAACTTGCGTGCAAACACATCATGAAAAAGTGAAAAGTACATCTCAAACTTTGAACTAATCCTCATCAAAATGTTTCAATGAACCTAAGATGATTATAACGTCCTACGAAAGGTAACAAATTTCCAATATGCCCTTCTGAAGATTAAAACACCATAAGTTCCCACAAGGCTTCAAATTAAATACTTGTATTGTAATATCAAACAAATTGAACAATCGAATAGTCCTAGGATTCCAATGAGTCATCAAGTTAAAATGCATGTTAGTATACACTTTCAATAAAAATCATGACTATTTGTTGGGCCTTCCTTGCGCTTAAAGCTTTAAGATCCACTTATGGCTCCCCCTCAACCACCAACCCTAAAGGTATAAGTCGTGCCTACTAAACCTACCAACAAATATAAGTCATAACCAAATTAATTTGGGTAGGCATCGAGCCATCAAGCCCATCAAATTGAACCTAACATAATGAGCCTTTACTAGGATTTTAGACCCAATTCTCAATCAAAGTAATAATAATGACATAAGCCACCAAATAAATAAGCATTGACAAATTTTCATGCTAACAAACCAAACAATCCAAACTAAATCAACCAATATCACTCGTTTATCTTCAACATGATTTTTTAGTTAAACCACTAGTTGTGAATACCTTATGACCATGTATGCCTCTAAGCCAATGTTGGTCATGTCTAGAATCGTAAGTGTTTATGTTGTTTGCCGATAAATCATTCAATCAAAGCCTGTGCAGAAGGCCCTCAACCAATGAATGAGTCAATGTTGAACTAGAATGCATATACTTGACACAAACACACTTCTATCATGGTTGACTCAAGATAATAAAACGAGGCAACCGAAAATTGCTAATCAAGCTCATTAGGCATTACTGCTTGTAGCACTCTTATGTTGGAAGATTGAGTCTACTAGAACGCCTAGGATGCGAAAATCATGAGATCTTAATCAAGTTTTCCTTTATTCCCCTAATCATTCTCATTTAATTGAATTAAAGCCTCAAATACAAAATTTGAGTCTAAGATAACTGCTTACTTAAGATTGTTACATCATGACTGGATGGGGTAATTAACCATAGTAGTTTACACTAATAATAAATATCGACTCTAAATCTTAATGTGACCCAATGTCAAAGAAGATTTAGGTAAGAAAATAAAAAGCTCTAATTGATATTAAAATAGATTAAAAAAAATTGAGTTCTCCAAAGCATTAAGAAAACATACAGAGGAGGTAGTTTTCTTTAGTGAGTAATATTGATACGACTCAATTTTATGTTGTTTTGATGATTTAAATATCATGTTTTATTTCATATTTGTCATAAGTTTATATTACGGAAAGGTAATTTGGTGGTATTTTGCAGATGAAAGATGTTGATCATATTTTGTGGAACCAAAACGCAAGGCAGAAAATAAGTGCATTATGTCAGACATTGGCATAGCAATGCCGGCCTACGGTATAGTTGCGCTAGCCAAAGGCATAGCTACGTCGTCACCAGTCAAATTTTTGGCAAGATTTTTTCAATCAAATTTTGGCAAGAGATACATAATGAGAGTTTTGGCATGATCTAGAGGAGATTGTTGTGTGGTTGGAGGCTATCTTTAGATAGCTTTAGGGTTTCTTTGTAAAACCCTAGGGTTTCCCTTCCTTCTTCTTTGGGGAGAAACTCCTAGGGTTAGTTTTGCTTTGATATTTGAGATTTTGTGTATGAGAGATAAATTGGTGTTCTGTGAGGAATATCGAGGATAGTCTTTCATTGTAAGGCGATGACTTGGTTTGTTGTGGAGAACACTTGGCATAGTTGAAAGTTGGCATACTTTCTTGTATTCATATCTTCAATGTTTACAATAAAATATTCCATGTTTTTTTTACCTCATATCTTATAGCTAATTTGGTTTCATGCACCTGTATGTAAGAATGGTTTTTCTCATTATATTTATAGTGAGTTTCTCTCGTACTAGTTTTTCAAGTTTTTGATTTTCATATGTTGATGTGTCAGCCTTGTTATCGTCATTTACTTCTATTTTAAACAATTAAGATGTAAAAACTTTTTTAGATCTATAACTTCTAACTGCAAAATGAAACGAGTAAGTTAACACCAATGTATTGAAAACTGAACCGGACCGGCCAGTTTGACTGTGAACCGGTTAGTGGTCCGGTCTGAGCATCTAACTGAACAACTTCAACATCAAATCATTCCAGATTGTCTCAACCCATCAGTTCGACCGGTGAACCAGCAACCGGTTCTAGTTTACGAGAACCGGGCAAAGATAAAACTTCAATTTTTCCAACCAACGGAGCCTGTTATCACTTTGATTTCCTAAACAGTGTGAGGCTTATTAAATTTTCCCATTATTTAATTTCCTAAAGCCATATATCAAGCTAGTTTTTTATTGAGATGGAACGAAAACATGTAAAAATTCACAACTTATTATTGAAATTTACAAGATAGTACGAAAACCAGGTTATCATTCATTAAAAATTTAAAAGATAATATGTAACAGGTAATATAATCAAAATGATGCAAGAACTTGAGAAGTATTAAGCATTTTTTTATTTTTTTTTATTTAAATTAATTGATAAAATTATGATTTTCATTCTATTGTGATTCTGGTAGACTCATTAATATGTAATTTAAAATATAATTAGTAAGTTACCATTCATTAGAAATATAATTATACAATTTATTGTAAGGAAAAGATTTTTACTAAATTTTCATTTTTTTTCTTTAGAATTTATTTTACAATTAATCAATTTTTTTTAATTTTACAATTATGATTTTTATTGCATCATTTTGATTATATTTAAATATCTTTTATAATTATTACATTATCCGATTCAACCTCCAGCTCAATCCCAGTTAAATCGATGAACTTTGATCCTCTCTTCCTTTCGTTTCGATATCCGGTCAGATTTTCACAACCTTGATTAACACACAATAACATAGCGGAATAAACATATTGTCATTAGAAAATTACAATCAAGATAAAGAATCTGAGGAATCCTGGGAAACCTTGCATTGTTAAGTCTTTCTTAACTGTAATATGATTTTTAACTCTTCTTATGAGCTAAACGTAAGTTAATGAGAATTGTCTTTGGTTGTCAACTATCACGTAGGGAAACCCATTGAAAAAACATAGAAAAAATACTATATCGGTATCACAAGAGCATAAGCCTCGTTGCCTCTGAAGAACTCAAAGTTGTTCTCCGTCTTTTTTGCTCCTACAACTTGTGTTAATTGTTACTTTTATTACTGATCTTTTAGGATTGTTAGGATTTTCCTTATTGCACTTAAATCACTTTAAACTACATTCAGCGGCATAGTACACTAAAAATTTTCGTGATATGAATATTTTGATAACTATCCTCGTGAAATTGATACACAAAATCTTTAATTGTATATTACTTAATTAACATATATACTTACGTGATTGATCGACCCAACCCATAACAGATTTCGAGCATTAAATACCATAGCAATAATAGTAGCAGTTCATTTTTTCCATTGGTAAATATGAAATTTGCATGCGACAATCAATATCTTTATGAGTATGCATGTCAATGTCTTAATAATTTCAAATGATCCCTTAAATTAAACTATCAACTAAACTTACTCTCAATTATAAAAGATATTCAAGCTATGAATCCATGATAGTTTGAATCAAACATATGATGTATCTCATAATACTAATTCATTTTAAGGCTGTATTGTATTATTAATCCAAATCATGTTTTGATGCCAGTTTTCATCATTGCCTAATCAACATAAATCATACAAATAACTCAAAATAGACAAAAAGTAAAATTTTAAATACATTCCTTACTCAGCATATACACAATTTAACATATTTCAAATTAACCATAGAGCTCAAAAAATAAAAAGAATTTCACAATTCATTTTTCTACGTTATTACTATTCATTGACTTATCAAAGATAGAAACTCTAATTTTTCAACCATATTAAATGGAAACATATTTTATTAAGAGCTTTTGGTAAAATATTCTCTTTTCTCAAGTCTTATAGAGAGATTCTCCGAATCACATCGTTCATCCTCAAGAAATATTGGCATCCTAACACGGTCACTACAACTTGAAATGGTAATTTTTGCTTGAATGTAAGCTCATTAACAAAATATCAAGTACTAATTTATCTAGAAGATTTTATCTTATTTGTCCCTGTTTCGCCACCTTGGCATGGTCCCCTTAAAAAATTTCAAGATTTAAGGTTTAAATCGCATTATGATTTTGACCATTCTATGATGATTCATGTAGCCGACCCCACGTAGCCGACCCCACGTAGTGGTATTAAGGGTTTGTTGTTGTTGTTGTTATTGATGTTGTATGATTTTGATCATTCATGGTCTTCCCAATGATTTTATCTTTATTTTTTCATATTCCTCTTAGTTAGGCTAGTTAGGCCAACTAGACAACGGCAACAACAAATCATTAGAGAAAGAAAAAAAAAAACCAAAAAATCCGTTCCCCTTTTCAACCCAAATCCATCTAACCCAACACTTTCCAAGCTGAATTCCTTCTCCCTTGAGACCGGCATTATCAAGTCATCAATTGGAGCACGTAGACAAACGAACGCGAACCAACGTCAAAATTAACAACATTCAAAAGAAAAAAAAAACAAAAGAAATAAAAGGACGAAACCTCTCTTTAGTAGCCGGGGCAGAGATCCGAGGAGCAGAAGGTGCAGGCGTTGCAACTGGAGGCTGCAGATACTGGTGGGGATTAATGTGATCCCCCTTGGCGGCGCCCCCCGCCATTACTTGTGACATCTGAGCCGTGAAGCTTGTTGAAGGATCATGCGAAGGGCTAGGAAGGTGGGCCGATGGAGATGCGGTAGGGATCTGGGAGAAATGGTGGCTTCCAGTGGAAGAAGTGGAAGATAGTTTGGGGAAACGGGGGCTAAGGAGCATATCAATCTGGTCATGGATGAATGAGATTTTGTGGGAGAGATCGATTCCGAACCTGGCCTCCAACTGGCGGACCACCCCGTTAATGGACGTAACGACGGCAGGGCCGCCTTGCCGGAACAGAGATTCCACGCAACTGGCAAGTTCCTGATCGGAAACCATTGTCGCCGGCTGACATCTAACTGCTCGAGGAGCGATGATGGAGTGGAGGACGAAAAAATAGAGGGAAAGGGGGAAAATCAAAATCACTATATTTCCCTGCCCTCGTCTTTTCTCTCTCTCTCTCTCTCTCTCTCTCTCTCTCTCTCTCTCTCTCTCTCTCTCTCTCTCTCTCTCTCTCTCTCTCTCTCTCTCTCTCTCTCTCTCTCTCTCTCTCTCTCTCTCTCTATGCTACGCTCGCCCGGTCTTCTTTACCTTATTTATTGATTTATAATTACATAAATATTTAGGGGCATTTACATACAACCACAAAATTCTTATATATTTAACTATCTCGTACCAAATCTTTCATATTTACCAAAAAAAAATATTACAACTGGAGTCCGAATAATATACGTGATACACCGAGGGCAATTATATTTTCCCCTCTACTCTGCCTGGTGTATCGCATTTGTTGTCTCGAGATAGAAAGAGTGACATTGAACAATTGTATTCAAGAGGGAAAGCTCATCAACATTGAAGCTTTGATCTGTCAGACTATCATTAGTCCTGCTACAGCTGTTACAACTGTAGGTCTGGGATTTGCTTCCTTGTTCTTTTCTTTGTGCAAGCAGGTTGGGGTTAAATATGATAGTTGGGAGGAAGTTATGCTACCTCTAAAGCCCATCATGAAGGTGAATGTGAAGACTTATTCCGAGTTACGTCCAGACTCCAGATACAATATTTTTTTCATATTTATGCAGATAACACTCAAATTTTTAATATCACATAAAAAATAATATTATTATCATTTTTTAAAAGTGAAATACAGTTTCTCATGTATAAGTTTAAATACAGTAAAGTGTTGTATCGTTAAATAAGAATGTTCGGATGTGAGATATGTAAATACATCAGAATTGGGTGATAAGTATGTAAATTTATCAAAACTATTTATTAATTAGACAACATATGATTAGGAACTAGAGTTGTAATCAAGTTGAGAATGTCTTGTGTTGAAATTAGGAAATAAGGGAAGAGGGAATGTGCTATATTATTTTCGGGTTGTATTTGGAATCATCATAAAATAGGGTTTAAATAGAAACAAAAAAGTCAGTTTAACTTATGTTTTAACTAAAAAAATAGTTTTTTTTTTAATTAGAAGTTATTTTTTGCTAAGTTGTTATAATAATTTTTTTAAATTTAAAGATTAAAATTATAAAACTATGAAAGTTAAAAAAAGTTAGGTTAAAATTATCAAGATATGAATGAGATGAAATCACAAATTATATGCCATGAACAAATTGTTATCATCCGGCAATAATTTTGAGAGGTGAAACTAGTCCCGAGGCATTTTTTTAGCAAGGAAATTCAAACTTCAATTAAAAATCAACTGGATCTCAATTTCAGCAAACTTATAGTCAAACTGACTGGTTTGACAAGATAGACCCAGTAAGATACTAATCTGAGTCAAATCAAGCCAAAAATAAATAGTTAAGCCACATTTGAAAGCATTTAGTGCTTAATTTGGTTGTTAAACCTATTTCAAATCTAGCAACCTAATAATCAAATTGGGCGTCTCGACGAGACAAATCCAACGAGCTTAAAATTAGTCAATTCTGATATCATTAATGCACTTAAAGTTACATAAAATACTATTTAATTGAGGGAACCTCTCTGCTATCCAAGCAGATATATATAGTCTGAACTCTATATAAGAAGTTATATATGGCTCCTGATAGAGGACCTAGACTTTTAACCAAGGAAGATCGAAGCTTGGAGGAGAATGAGCTGAACCACTATGCCGCCACCTGCTCCTTACGACGAAGTTCTTTGCAGAGTCACAACATTCATTATAGAATTCTAGCGTATGTTGCATAACAGTGAAGCAGCCCACAAAGTAGTACATCATCTAATACACCGTGCAATGACGTATCTTGAAAATAATGTTACAACACAACTCAAATATAATGCAATGACACCCCCCACATACGGTGTAATAACATACCCTGAACACGTTGCGATGGCGCATCCCAAAGATGGAGCAACACACCTCGAATACGGTGTAACGATCACCCCGCAAAAATTATTTACAATCATCGTACTAATAATATAGGGGTTATTCCTAAACACATTTACATGTGTAACAAGGAAGAACAAGTAATGATTATGACTAACTCTTTTCTGCAGGTGCTGCTAGCTCCTCCCGCCAGACATGGCTATATGTGTTGCATGTTAGTAGATTTTTCTGCTAATCATGTTTTCGTTTAAGTCATGTTTTTTTTTTTTACTTTTCTTATGTACTTTTTTTAGTACTTAGGAGAGTCTTATATTGGAAATAAGGTACGAAAACGAGTTCCAAGGCATCATATGGGAGGAACCACATGACAGGGACCATGACCTATTTGCTCATGTCCTGTTGCTTAATTATAAATATTATTGATGAATAGAATTAGGACTAGGTATGTACTTATGTGGTGTCTGTCCGCCTTTTTATGTTTCTAGAATATGTTGTCAACCTTGCGACACCAAACATTTTATTATTTTGTATTTGACTTGCTATATTGTTCTTCTTGCATGCTTATGTGCTTGAATTGGTTCTTCTTCTTTACCTTTTGCGTTTGCTTGGGAGCCATATGAATCATTTAGGCTCCTTAGGAGATGAAACTTTCTAAATTCTACAAAATCCTAATAAAAGTTTCAAGTCTAATTAAAATTTATGATTAAGAGATTTTGGACATTTCAAAATCTTTATTTACTGTCCTACATGACCTTTGGGTTGGATTTTAAATAGGTTGCATAGCATGACCATCACCCAAGCCATATTAATAGGTCCACTATGCTTAGGACTTGAATAGACAATTGCATCATTCTGCATATCCCGAGGAGCAGTCCTAATGCTTTTCCAACCCGACTGGCCCAACATAGATTTCTACTTACATGGTTGTCTAGTGTGTTTAGAGTGTTAGTGGCTTCCTCGACCCATACGGGGAGTAAGTCCTTTGTTGAGAGCATTTTAAACTTTGTAGTTGGACTTCTTTTTTTCTTTTCACTCCAACGACATCCTAGCCATTTTGACTGGTATAAATCTCACCTCTGCTTTTCTTATCTATATAGTGTCATAGGATTAGAGCCTCCTTCTTCTGACCTTAGGGCTACCGAGGTCCCCTTGGATGACACAATTCACATATTACTAGCAAGGTAGAATTGGGCCATCCAAGGGGACCTCGGTAGCCCTAAGGTCAGAAGAATTGGGGTCCTAATAGCTTGGGATGACGGATTTGTGGTTTGCTGGCCCAACTATCTCTGCCTGATTAGGATCATTCCACCCTTTCATTGTTACCTCTTTTGTGCCTTGTCGCTCCTTTTGACGCCACATCGATGCTACCTTGTAGGCCGATTGCATATAGACTGCCACCTATTTGGGATACAATGATTCATCCTCTGCCCTTATGGTCTGTTTTGTCTTTGGAAGCTTAGTGTGGATCCTACGAGTCGACCGGGTTACTTCACTAGCCTCGTGTGCCAATGAGCCGCTACTCATTTATGATGTGAGAGAATCTCTGCCCCATGGCTCAGTGAGAGCTTTGAAAGCCATGGGATGTTCTTATGAGGCAACCTTCTTTTGTGACACCCTATACTAGTAATTATGACTCCTTTAATCGAAAGTATTCTTTGGTACTCCCAAAGATGTAATTAACCAAGGGGATGTGTTCCCTTGGCGGTTGGTCTTAGCTCTAGAACAAGCACACACACTTGAATCTCTGGTTGTAGGTTGCTTTTGTAGGGTCTTTATCATGAATATGTTCTAAAGTATTTTCGATCTGAACTCATTTTGGATGTGCTCTTTTGGGCTATCACATGAGGTTTACCTTATGAAAGCTCTTTATGTTCTTTCTATCATTTGTTTTTATTATTGATTGTCCTTACTTTATGATTTTTTTCTTCTCCAGATCATTCATATCACCCGAAAGAGAGATTTAATCGGAAAAGGGAATCATACATTGACACAAAAACAAACGGCTCCTTAAAAAAAAAGAGAAAATGAATGAAAACAATAAAGTTCCAACCCTTCAACTCCACACAAATCTTTTCAAACCACGAGTCCATCAAATCTAAGTTCTAAACATCAATCTCACAAACACTTACCACATAATTATGCATGAAATAAGCCAATACTTTAATTGAGAGTATTCTTAGGACTCATAACTCCTTAATTGTAATTAATTATGAGAGTTTTCCCTTATTTGAATGCCAAAACCCAAAGCAAAATAAATCCTATTTTATCCCTATAAGGTAAGAGAAAAATCTTATTTTGTAGACCAATAAATCTTGAATATTTTCTTCATTCAAGTGATTAGATTCATATTAATGTAATATTTCTATCATTCATGGCAGTATATTATCCTTCAAATGCCGCATCTGATCATTTGGTAGAAATACTTAAGGTCTATGGTGGATAACCAATCCATCATTCACAAAAAAAATAAAAAAATAAAGGAAAAAACTCCACTACCAGGTGTCCAATCCAAGCACCTCAGAGCCTTAACCATCTCCCCATTCAACTCAAAAAATAGAGGAAATCCAACACTCAAAACAAGCATCTAGGTGTCCTAGCCTGAAAAACCGTATGCTCAAATTAAAAACTGAGTTATCCCAACTTGGAAAACTAGTGATACACTTCACACCTACGAGCTTGAAGTGACATATTCCTATGCTTCTAAGACTAAGAACCCGGAAAACCTAGCATCCAAGCCCAGTGCGTAGGAGACCAAAATTGACCTTTGGTAGTTTACATGATTTTGGCAAGTTTTGGTGCTCCATATTCTTAAATTATGGGTTCTTGAAGGAGAGAAGGTATGACTAGTAATTTCTTACTTAGTCTCTATGTTGGCAAGAGGAGAGGTATTTGGAGTATGTGTGTGTGTGTTATATAAAGTGTATAGTGTTTATGTGTGTGTGTGTGTGTGTGTGTGTGTGTGTGTGTGTTTTCTATATTATGAGTGTATGAGAAAGTAAATCCCAATGGAGAATCAGTGTACAAGGAAGAATTAAAGTGGAGAAAATGAAGATTTTTCTTAGGTTCAATTATTCATGTTTTAAAATACTTCTAATTTGAGTTTCAATAAAATTTGTCTGGTTTTC